GACCCAGCCATCCCATTACTGGGTATATACCCAAAGGATTATAAATCATGCTGCTATAAAGACACATGCACACGGATGTTTATTGTGGCACTATTCACAATAGCAAAGACTTGGAACCAACCCAAATGTCCGTCAATGATAGACTGGATTAAGAAAATGTGGCACATATACACCATGGAATACTATGCAGCCATAAAAAAAAGGATGAGTTCGTGTCCTTTGTAGGGACATGTTCTCACTCATAGGTGGGAATTGAACAATGAGAACACCTGGACACAGGGCAGGGAACATCACACACTGGGGCCTATTGTGGGGTGGGGGAGGGAGGAGGGATAGCATTAGAAAATATACCTAATGTAAATGATGAGTTAACGGGTGCAGCACACCAACATATATGTAACAAACCTGAACGTTGTGCACATGTACCCTAGAACTTAAAGTATAATAAAAAAAAAAAAAAACTTTGATCTTGGATAACAATTTAAAAAAAGAAAGTAGAATGAATTGCACATAGTAGAGGTAAATATTTTACCTGTTTGTAGATACACATATATATGTATGTACAGAGTCACAATGAAAAATGAATTTCTTACTAAAAGTCACTGTCAAATGACCTTGAAGCGTATTGCTCTGTACAGCTGCCAGAATGAAACTTCTGAAATGCAGTCTGATTATGTTACCTACCTGCTTAGAATCCCACACTGAACTGTTGCTCTAAGATCTTTAATAAGTAAAGCTTTTAAAACTTGGCCCATCTGTATTTCCAGCCTCATCTCAATGTATGCAGCACTCTCGTGCTTCCCAGCATACATCATATTTTCCATGGCATCAGACTTCTAATCCTGTTTTTTTAGTCTGAATCCTGAACCTGTTCTTTCCCACCCCATGCCATCCCTTTTTTGCCCATCTGACTCCAGCTTGTTCTTCAAGTCTGAGTTGTAGCATTACCACCCCTGGAAGCCTTCCTGAATCTGTAGCCATCACCATAACTCCCCTGCAAGTAGAAATGAGCCATCACTGTGTGTGTGTGTGTGTGTGTGTGTGTGTGTGTGTGTGTAATAAACTCCTTTAGAGCCCTTATTTCCCCATGGGTATTAACTGAAGTGCTTATGTCCCTCAGGGGGATTACCAGGTCATTGAAGACAGAGACTGGATCTCATTCAGCACTTGTCCTCAGCATCAGAGATAGTATTTGGCATAGAGTAAGCCCCTGAATGTTAAATTTAATTAAAAATGCTTTACAATTCTGACATGGGTTTTAATATAATTGCTATAACAGATATTTTCATGCATTGTGTTGCATGATTTGGTTTAAATAACTAGTCTCAGATACCTAAATAACTATGTATCTACAAAGAAAAAAGAAATCCAAATCCATTTAGGTTTTTTGACTGCCTTTGTTTCTATATAAATATATCTACTACAGTGTGTCAATATTGCTTATTCCCTATTGAAAGTGGTGTTTAATTTTGTACTTTAGCTTCCCAGTTCTGGTGATCTGTGGAGCATTCATATGGACTTTGACACCAAACGGTTGGATCCCTGGGAACGAATCATACCTACCTTCAAATACAACCGAGATGTTCCATTTTTTGAAATGCTTGTCCCCACAACTGACACAGTGCGCTATGGGTACCTAATGGAAAAACTACTGGCAGTCAAGCATTCTGTGTTGTTTACTGGAATAACTGGAGTGGGCAAGGTAGGAAACTTACATCAGACAAGAAGTCCTCTCCAAATGTGAGGGCATGGTGGACTTAAAATTGTTAGCACCAGAAGTAATATTATTTCTGAGAGGAATTTTTTTTTAGCTTTTAGCGCTTTTGCAGGAAGAATGTTATGCTGAATCTATATTGATCCTAGGAATTGTTCTAAAGTTTGCCGGTTTCTGAATACATTCTTGGAGTTGATACTGTATGAACTAGAGAGCCCTGTAGGCCAGCATTTGTGCTTAGGGGCTTTTATGTTTTATTCCTTGGTATTTTGCGGGCTGCCACTGCACTGGTTGGATGGGAACTGGCCAGAGGAGTTTGCATTCCCAAAAGACTGTTGATAAAGATCAGCCCATCCCCTCCTGCCTGTTCACTTACACCTGATACAACAATGGTATCCTTGATTATCTGGGTTTTTTTGTTAAAGTAGAATGGAGGGAGGAATACTGATGATTTGGGCTTATAAGTTTTGGAGAATCCACATAAAATTTCACTGTTTCCCAAAAAAATTATTCTAAAAGAAATTTGCATCTTTCTGTGACTCTTTCCATAAATTGGCTTGAAGAGTAGCCAAGATGGATTTTGGCATGAAATTAAATTAAAACTTTTTGCTAAGATAGTGCTGATTAGAATATCTCTTTGATTCTGAAAAATATAACTAAACGGAATCTCCAGTAAGAGAAAGCAGACATTTCAATCTAGCTTTAACCTCTCTCTTTTTATCGTGTTTCTTACTTATTGTGCCAAATTATTACAGATATAACTGAAAGAGATTATATTGATGTGACATTAATTAACTTATTTTAATTTAAGTCTGTGATTGCAAAAGGATTGCTAAATAAAATTCAAGAATCAGCTGGTTATGTCCCTGTTTATCTGAATTTTTCTGCTCAAACCTCATCTGCAAGGACACAGGAGATCATTGAGTCAAAACTGGAGAGAAAAAGAAAAAATATTCTAGGTAAGAATCATTATTTTAGTTTGTCCCACAGAAATTATTCATTAAGCTAATAAATGACATAAATAGTACATGTAATAAAATGACAATTGGATATTTTATTTGCTTAATTTACTTGTAAAGGTGATTCTGTTGATGGCGTTTTTATGCTAGCTATGTAGATGTCTTAGTGTTGCCAAGCAAGTCATTTATTTCTACCATCACCTTCAACTCAGAACATCTTCAATCTCTGCCTCTCCATGGCTCTCCCTCTCTCCACCCAGGTTCTTCCAACATGCACTGATTTCGCCTTATTTAAAATAAACAAACCTCTGTATATTTGGCACATTGGGTTATCTGAACTCAGTGAGGAATAAGTATGAGACTGTTTTGGTTTTTTCTTCAGTCAGTACTTTCAGCCAGGTTTTGTGGTAACTTCCCCACCCTCCCTTATTAACTGCTTAGATAACTAGCATAACTTTCTGGTCACCTTCAGACATTTGGAGTCTGGGCCAGTCTAAGCCTCAATCCAATACCCAATTCAAAGTTCCTCCTCTCCTCTGTCATAAGCCAGGTTTGTGGCTGCAGGTACGTACTGGAGGTGAAGGGGTCATGGGATGCTCGTCACTCCTCCCCACCCTCCCTGTAGGAGGCTGGAGTATGCAGGGAATGGAGAAGAAGAAGGAAAGGACAAGTTTCTTCTCTCTAACCAGTGCTCAGACGGGCCTCTCTGTGGCTGGTCCCTGCTTCTGTAGCTGGCACTGAGTGGTGTCCATGCTGTCTGTGAGGCAGGCTTTCAGGAATGGGCTCTTGTAAGCAACTCCCAAAAGAACTGTAGGTCAGGCATTGACCTCACCACTGGAAGTTTCCCTGAGGGTGGGAGTCAGGACCTCAGCCTCACTCTCCAGCAGTCCATCTGCAGCCTCTTGCAACTGGGGCCCACTTGCTCAGTCCACAGTCTCTGGGGTGGTGCACCAGTCAGGGCTTAGGCTTGGCTGCCTCCCACATTGCCCACCATCTAGCAGGCCCTGTCATGCCAAACAATGGTGCTGCCAGCTGCTTCACCGCCTCCTCTTTCTGTCCCCTCTCTCCTGCTCAGGTAGGCAAGGGGCAACAGATGCCAGTCTATTTTCTGGTGGGGGACCCAAATTTTTACAAAGGTTTCTCTTAGACCCCTTCCTTGCCCCCCCATCCTGCTACTTGGCTTCCAGGGGGCCACGGGATGGAGTGAATCACTCAGTTTGCCTTGGAATCACCTCCCATAATTATCCCAACAGCAGAGACATGGCCATTTGCCCGTTGGGTTTCTCTTTCCTCTGCTATCATTCATTCCTTTTTCTAATGTGTGTATTTCTAATGTGTGTATATTTATTTAAATGTGGCATTGTGCAGCCCCACTGCACTGGATTTCCCTTTGATGTGATCAGGATGCTTTTGAATATCTAATCTGTTTTCCCTTTGAGGGTGCCGTGATGACATTTATGAAAGGAAACTTTGGCATTCTTCCTCTTCCTACTATGGAAAGAAACTGATGTTCCTCACTCATGCCTAAGCCACACAGTTGCTGAGGGCAGTGGCTGAGACAGAGAAAGGTTCACTCCTTGCTGGAGAGAGGCCACCATCTTGTGCCCTGACAGTGAGGATAAGGGGCCACCTGGCATGACAACGTGGACGTCCTGACCAGGAGCACATCTTCCTGCATGGGCCTGGGTGGGGCCAGAAGGAAGTCGCTTCCTCCGGGCAGGACTCAGAACTGAGCTCTTTATGACCTATAGGATGTCATTGAGTCCAAAGTCATACCCTAGCTTTGTCTTACATTTTCTAGGGGAAAATCATAATTCTTAAATTAAATTCATTTTATTTCCCTAGGAGCACCGGGAAACAAACGAATTGTGATTTTTGTTGATGATTTAAACATGCCCAGACTGGATCGCTATGGCTCTCAGCCTCCGATTGAATTACTTCGGCAGTATCAAGATTTTGGGGGATTTTATGACAGAAACAAACTATTTTGGAAAGAAATACAGGTTACTTTAGCTTTTAAATTACTTGGTGTGCTTAAATTTAAATGTCAAGGAAATATGATGTATACTTTGTGAGACTACCATAGCAAAGTACCACAAATGGGGTGGCTTACACAGCAGAAGTTTGTTTTCTCATAATTCTGAAGACTAGACGTCCAAGAACAAGGTGTCTGCAGGATTGGTTTCTTCTGAACACTCTTTCCCTATGTCTTTATATGGGCTTCCCTCTGTGTCTGTCTGTGTCCAAATCTCTTCTTATAAGCACACCCGTCATGCTGGATTAGGGCTTACCCTAGTGGCCTCATTTTAGCTTATCACATCTTTAAAGACCCTATTTCCAAATACAGCCACATTCTGAGATGCCGAGTTAGGACTTCAACATATGATTTGGGGACAGGGGACACAATTCAGCCCATAACATGTGGCCTCGGTTTTTCCTCCTTGTAATTCAATGCATTCAGTCTATATTGAGTTTTTGCCATGTTTGATTCAGGAGATCCATGAACAAGTGAAACAGTCCCTGCCTCCCAGAGAGCTTCAGAGGGTGGACAGACATTTCTAATGCAGAGTGGTGAGAGGGGAGAGACAGGAGAGATTCAGGGGTGGGGCTGGGTTGAGGATGGGAGAAGCCTCCCAGAAGTGATGTTGGAGCTGGATTCTGAAGGCATGCATGTCAAAGCAGGGAAAGGGAGTGTTTTATACCCCAGAAGCGGGGAATGTAAAATACTAAGGTGGTGTGAAATATGAGCACCAAAGCAACAGGAGAGGCAGAGGTCACATCCCATGGTGCTGTGGGCCCATGAGGAGGAAACTGGATTTATCCTGTAAGTGCTGAGGAGCTGCTGAAGGAAATGTTATGGAAAGATTCCCTTGGCTGCAGGGGAGGGATGGGCTAAAGAGGAAGCAAGGACAGAGGCAACTGCAGTAGCCTAGAGGACAAGAGATGAGGGTCGAGCCTCCTGGGGTGATGCATGTGGTCAGAAGGGTTTAGAAGCCAGAAGGCAGACCAGCAGGACTGGTGGTGTGTTAGTCAGGGTTCTTGAGAGGGACAGAACTAACAGAATAGATATATATATACATAAAAAGGAGTTTATTAAGTATTAACTCACATGATCACGACTTCCCACAATAGGCCATCTGCAGACTGAGAAGCAAGGACAGCCAGTCCAACCTCCAAAATTGAAGAAATTGGAGTCCGGTGTTCAAGGGCAGGAAGCATCCGGCATGGTAGAAAGATGTAGGCTGGGAGGCTAGGCCAGTCACTCTTTTCACATTTTTCTGCCTCCTTGTAGTTTAGCTCCACGGGCAGCTGATTAGATTGTGCCCACAATTTAAGGGTTGGTTAAGGGTGATTCTGCCTTTCCCAGCCCACAGACTCAAAAGTTAGTTTCCTTTGGCAACACTCTCACAGACATACCCAGGATCAATACTTTGTATCCTTCAATCCAATCAAGTTGATACTCAGTATTAACCATCACAAGTGGGATATGGAGTCAAGAGGGAGGAGGGGGAACCTAGGCTAACTGCCCCATTTCTGTTCTGGCGAACAGAAACCAACACGCTTGACAAGAAGAGGGCAGGGGGCATGTTTAGTTTTGCTCACAATAAAAACAAATATTTGTACCAGGCACTATTCTAAGTGTTTCCCACCTGCTAGCACCCAACATCCCTACAAGATGGATAATGCTATCAGCCTTGTTTTATAGATCAAGAAATAGGCCAAGAGTATGGAGTTATGTGACTGGTCCAAGGTCACACTACTCGTAAGTGGCAAAACTGGGATTAGAGCTCAGGCCATTCGGCTTCTGAATATGTGATTTCAGCTAAGATTCCTCCCTGCCCATGTTGCTAAGCTCTAGTTCCCTGGGAAATCCAGGTAGAGCACTTTCTGTCTATCAAAATGAGAGCTTAAATAAGGCATAAACATTCTTTGAAGTGAAAAATAAGATGAGTGTAAGAGGCAGAGGGATAAATGGAGACTGAAGAGAGGGTTCAAGCTGTGCATAGGTGAAAACTGATGGGGGCGGAGGTAGTAGGTCCTGAGAAAGGGGCCTCATTCACCAACACAGGAAGTCCCGGATGGAAGATGAACCTGTATTCAGTTCCTGGGAAGCAGTCAGCAGTTGTCTTCTTCCAGCCTGTATTTACAGCCTGTATTAAACAGGAAAACCTTTCCTAAAAAGAGAATATAATTAGGCCTCTTTATAAAGAAAGCAGTCTTTTGCATATAAGGTTTTTTTACTTTCCAAATAATTTTATCTAACTTTATCTTCCCAACAACGCAGTGAGGAGAGAATATCACGTGCCCTTTGCAGGTTTAGAATTCCCCTGACTCAGTGCCATGGGGATGAGGGTGGGAAGGGAATGACTGCCAAACCTCCCACCAGGCCAGTGCTCAGTAGCTCCTCTCTGCCAAACAAATCACATGGAAATGCCTCGCTCTGGCACTCTGAGGCTCCCACATATGGCTGTGAATGGCTGCTCTGATCCAAGGGTCTTTTGCTGCTCCCTGCACATGTCCCACAGTCCCACTGAGGCAGAAGGCTTGATGTCTCCTGAATGCACCCATATCCTCCACCTCATGCCTTTGTGATAGTGTCCTCTACCTGGAAGGGCCCTTCTCTCCAGCTCTTCCCTTGTAATCCTTCTACTCCTTCAACGCCCATCTCCAAATTGCCTTGCTCACAAGGTCTTTCCTTAAACCCCCATTTCCAGTGTGAGCTCCTCTTTCACCCGCATGGCGATCTGTGTGTGTGTTTATGGTCTTCACATTCTCTCTTGAGTCACGGCTGTTGATGTGCTCATCTTGTGTTGCATTCCTTCATGTTGGACTCTGAGCTCCTGACCTCCATCTCCCTCATCTTTATGGCCCCTGCTAAGCTTAATACCTTGTACATAGTAAGCCGTTGTTTATTGGAACTGATTCACATAGAGACAGCCTTGGTACCACCTCAAGCCTTGGTACTGTAGAGCTGAGATCAAGAGTGCCTTCCTCTTGGTCTTCAGATTCTTCCTCCTACCAAAGGAATTGGCACACACTCTTCACTTTGCCAGAAATGCATCTGCTCCCTTCACCCCTATGGCCTTGTCTTCTGCTCCTATCAGCTTCCAGCTCTCCACTGCAAGTACCATTTCCTTGGCCAAATCTTCTCTGACCCACAGACTAAGTAAGGTTCCCCCATCAAGCATCGCCTCAGCATTATATCCCTTTCCTTCAAAAAACTTACTGTGATTTTTATTGCAATTTTATTTTATTTTATTTTATTTTATTTTTGAGACAGGGTCTCATTCTGTCACTGAGGCTGGACTGCACTGGCACAATAGAGGCTCACTGCAGCCTCAACCTCCACGGCTCAAGCAATCCTCCCACCTCAGCCCCCCAAGTAGCTGGGACCACAGGCTCATGCCACCATGCCTGGCTAATTTTTTGAATTTTTAGTAGAGACAGGATTTCGTCATGTTGCCCAATCTGGTCTTGAACTCCTGGACTCAAGTGATCTGCCTGCCTCAGCCTCCCTAAGTTGCACATTTATTTTTAAGATCATTGATTTATGGTATTAACCTCTGTCCTTCCCACTAAAGCTGCTTTCAGATGGAATAGGTGGCATGTTCTCTCCATTAGACCCACAGGGCTTTTGTTTTCCATTTAATTCACAATAGCCCAGGCTATTTGTGGATTCCATGTTTGAAGATTCACCTGCTCACAAAAATTTGTAACTGCAAAATCAGTATTCGTAGCACTTATTCTGTCTTTTGCAGACATGTACGGAGCGGCGAAAAATTCTAGCCATCCAACCCACAGTTCCCCGATGAGGTGGAACAAGACAACACTCTGCCTTCTTTTTCAGCTCTCGTGCTGTAAACAACTGCCCTTTACACAGTCTACTGGAGGCCACATTTTCACATTTTTATGCCTTCTGTTGGTGATTTTGCTATTTAAAATGGCCCAAGTGTAGTGCTAAAGTGCTGTCTACTATTCCTAAACACAAAAAGGCTATGATGTGCCTTACTGAAAAAAATGAATGAATTTGATAAATTTCATTTAGGCATGAGTAATAGTGCTGTGGTCCATGAGTTCAATGTTAATGACTCAACAATATAAAATAAGGCGTTTTAAACAGAAACGCACATAAAACAAAGTTATGTATTGGTCAGTTGACAAAAATGTCATCACAGAGACTCACAGAAACCTAACCCTAGGAGCGGTGGTTCAGTATCCACTAATCCAGTGCTCCAGCCAACTTTACTGAACTTAACTACCATGAATAATGAATATTTGTTGAAAGAATGGCTATATTTTATCTTCAGATAACAAAGTTTTTAAGATTACAGTTTCACATAAAGGTATTTATATAAAGTAGATGAATCAGCTAAGTGACCTTGAGCAACTTACTTAACCATCCAGGGCCTTGGTTTTTTAATCTATAAAATAGGTGTAATTACAGTGGTCTCTTGGAGTGATTGTGAGAAGTCATTTAACATACACAAAAAATGTACTGCAATGCTGGCATTTGGGAAGTCCTACCATTGGGATAGGCAGGTCTCATTTCGTTCTCTGATGAGTGATCCAAGTGGATTTCTCTGCACACAGGATGTAACAATTGTATCAGCATGTGCACCTCCAGGAGGTGGCCGCAACCCTGTGACTCCCCGCTTCATCAGACATTTCAGCATGCTGTGCCTCCCAATGCCCTCAGAACACAGTCTGAAACAGATTTTTCAGGTGAGTGTTGATTTTAACTTAGGCAAAAGGGGGAAAAGAAAACATATGTGTTCCAAGCCTCCCACAATCAAAGTGGTGTCTTGTGTTTCTAAGGAATCCATCTATCCATCTCTTTTCTGAGCAGGAAGCAGGTAAATATGGACTCCTGGAGAGTAGCTGGCAGGCATTTGCATCACTGCCTTCTGTATCTGTTGGTCTCAGAGAGTTCTAGAAATGCAGAAAGATTGTGCAAACAAAACCCCTACCTTTAGAGAAGGCTGCATCTTAGGTCCCTGCCACTTAGCACTGCACACACAGTTCTTAGTAGATCTCATCACTACCCAGCCCCTGCCTTTGTGCTCATCTCATACCTAACCACCAGGTCTGTGTGTCCACTTGCCACCACACTTGGCACCTGATATGCCTCAGAGAGCTCAAGCTCAACACACCTAAAACAGAACTCATCTCCTTGGCCACTCTCACAAAGAACAATAACCTATATTTTGTCCACCTGTACTAACTTCCCTAAAGGGCTACTTCTCCATCCTTTATATGGGAAAAATAATAGCACCTGCCCTACAAGTGCTCAACAGATTGTGAGGCATTATTTTGAGTAAAATAATAAGAGAATATGAAGCAGCATGACTAAAGCCCTGCATACCCAACCTGCAAAGGTTTCTTAGAGAAGAGAGATTGTGAGCTGAGGCTTGGGGATGCTGGGAATTGACAGGGAGGAACGGATCTTAGGAACAGGAAGTGCTGGGTGAATGCAACTGCAGAGGCAGGAAATGGTAAGGTGTGCGCAAAGGTAGAATAAGACAGTTCAGGTGACTGGCCTGGAGAAGCTGATGACAGTGATGTGGACAGTGATGCCCAAGGATGTGGCAATTACCAGCATCGACTTCTTCCAGTGGAAGCCCTCTCTCAAGAGGGACAGACTCCACATGTATACAACCTTCAGTACATGGAAAGGAGTTTTCTGTTTGTATTTAAATAGCTTATTTCTGTGGGAAATTATTTTTAATAAATTGAAGTAGTTCCAATAAGCTGTTTAGGAGCAATGCCACAAAGATATATAAAAACTGCCACATTTTGAAAAACTTTGGGAGAGTGCTTTAGAAAATATGGAAGGATGGGAGCTTAGCTCCTATAATTAAGCATCAGAGTACAGAACAAGACATAACAGGAACCACCAAAGCCGTTAGAGGGGTTGTCTAAGCCCCTGCACACTTTTCCTGAGAGCTTTTATATTTATATTTTGAAGTTTGAAGTGCGTGATTCCCAACCACACCACAGATCCACTGTGATGTGATGAGTGGTGGGGGGTGTCTCAAGAAACTTATGCCTGGTTAGAAGAAACTGAATTTGCAAATTGTTTCATTTTTTATTAAGTTAAAGCAGATTCAGGGTTATGACTACAAAAACGTCATTCTTCATCATTCCAAAATGGAATGATTTCCATTTTGTGGGTGAGAAGAATACAGTGAAGTCTGGGCCACTGGGAGAGGCAAGGCCCCCAACTCTCAACCTCCTGTGGGATTATCATGTCCATGGAAATGTGTCACCCATGGGAACATCGTCCAGCAAGCACATCACAGCTGAAAACTGGCTGTGATAGAGCTGCTTCTTCCCACTGTAACTTTACAGGTTTACATTTAAAACCCACACTAGCTATAAGGGGAAATAGAAATGATACGTTGCAAAACTGCAAGATTCTGGGGGCTACTGGGTTGGACTGAATTCAGGTGGGAAAGAATATTGCTGTCATTACAATGGACAGGGTATTTTGCCTGTAGGAAAAAAGAACTTGCTCTAAGCCCATGGATCTCAAACTTCATTTTTCATCACAGCCCACCTAAGCAGGACCCAATAATTCATCACCCATCTGTCCTGTCCTTCATTACTGTTTGGAGGAGAAAGAACTTGGATGTAGTCAAGAATTGAAGAAGAGCAAAATCAATAAGCTAATTTATTGTTAGCAACATATATAAATAGATTTATTTCTACTATATGAAAGAAGCCTATGAATCTAAATTGTACATGTATATTATATATAATGTTTTCAATCACCTATTAGTGTTAACACAATTAGTCCTATCATTATACTTTCTTTGATAGTCTATTGCAAATTAGTTAAACAGTGCATATATGCAGGGAGCGCATCACTAATAACCAGTCACGGTTTGCTCAGTTGGAATATGTACATTATAAGTGACTCTTTCTTGGACCACACAGTTCACACAAATCTGAGTGTTTACTTATTGGAAATCTATGTGCCAAAATATGCATCACTATACACTCTAAGGGTGAACTGAACAGCACACAACCAGGTAAATTAAATTTAATGAAATTTCTAGTTAGAAAGCTATAACAGCAGTAACTGAAAACCATGATTGGCTCCATAAACTAGTGATAATGTGCTTATGCCAAAGAATCCTTCTCCCAAAACTGAGAAATCTGCCTGTGTCTTGTGTGCATGTTCTTAGTAAGAGTTTTGCAAAGTTGCCAGGCAGATCATGTAAGCCAGATCCTTAAGTAGAATATCAGGCTGTGGTCCTCAGTAAATTTTATAATGATACGCTAATTTTAATGTATGGATACCAATTAGTTGCCTTTAATTCATTCATTAAACAAATATTTGTTGAGCACCTTCCATACGCCTGACATTGGTGTATCATCCCTGTCCTCGTGGATCTTCTTCCACGGACGCAGATAATGAATAGATGAATGAGATATCTAGATACAGACACACAGTTACTCATGCATATGTTAGAAACTGTATTTGTATTTGTATTTGTGTCATGGAGAAGAGAAGGCTGGAGCTTTTTACCTACCTATAACATATATATAGATAAAATTATCAGCTTGTCTATTCTCCATCATACACAGACAAATGGACAGATTTTCATCAAATTTAAAGATTGGGTTTGGGATGGTCCTACATAAAATACAGACCATGTGGAGTATGTTAAACTCATGTTGGGGTCCCAGGAGGGGATACCTAAAGAGGTCATCCTCACAAGTTAAAGCAAATTTTAAACAGGAGGCCCACTGAAAACAAATACTCAGGTTTATTTCAAAAGATCTCATATATGACACCAAATCTGAAGTCACAACTTCAGATTGGACTAACTTGCAAACATAGATATGCATTCTGGTGGCTTCTCCCATGAGTTACCCCAAGGTTAATGGTGATAAGAATTTATCTATTTAAAAAACAATAATGATTTTTCCAAGCACTTTGGGGTCAAGGACTAGCTAATAAATACACATGTTCAAGTTGTGATGTTATGGATGAGAAGATCAGAGAGACTGATGGGAGGACTTCTTTTAGATTGAGTGGTCAGGAAAGGCCTCTCTGGAGAGACGGCATGTAACCTAAAACATGAAGGATGAAAAGGCACCTGCCAAGCGGAGAGGGCTAGGCACAGAGAGAGGGGAGCAGTAGTGCACGGGCCTGAGATGGGAAGGAGCGCGGGTGTTCAGACTAGTGTGGCGGGGACACAGGGAGCAATGAAAGGGATGGGCGAAGTGAGGGAGCTGGGGGAAGGGTGGACCAGCAGGGAGACCAGGATGGAAGTGGAGAGGCCAGAGCGAAGGAGAGAGGGGAGAAACCCAGATTTAAAAGAGTGGAGCCCAGAATGGGGTGATGTCCGGGGAAACAGAGAGAAGCAAACAAACCCAAGAAATGTGTTCAAGATTGATTGTGCGGGACAGAGAATGGGAAGTGTCTAAAGAGACTTCCAAGCTCCTGATCTGAGCTTAGGAGGGAATGGCCAGCTACTGAAATGGGGAAGCTGAATGTGAAGGAGTTCACCATTGCAAGTAAGTCATATTTGAAATATACATGAAGATGAAAATCTTTGAGAGTGGTGATCATTCGTCCATAAAAGTGAGAGAGAGGGTTTCTGTTCTCTTTCAGGTGGGTTTGTGCCCTTCTTGATGACCCCTTGGACTCACCTCAAGCAGAGGTCTAAATTACTTGAGAGTATGTTCATGTAAATTCACTAGTCAGATATGAATGCCACTCAGGCGTCACAAAACAATCACAGAAGACAGGAGTGCATCCTCGAGAATGTTTTCTGAAATAAGCGGAAGAGCTTTGATACCAGAAGACTTTGTGTTGGAATTTGGCTTTCTGTTATTAGAAAACATGTCATCTGGAGTACTTAAAAGATAGATATTTGGCTTAAAATAAATCTAATCCTCTCATATTATGTTTCTGGTTCTAGGCCATCTTAAATGGTTTCCTGAGTGACTTTCCACCAGCTGTAAAGCAAACTGCATCAAGCATTGTAGAAGCCTCAGTTGAGATTTATAACAAAATGAGTGTTGACCTCCTACCAACACCTGCCAAGTCCCATTACGTCTTTAACTTGAGGGACTTATCCAAATGTGTGCAAGGTAGTGTACTGAACCCTCGTTTTCTGATCTGCACCCTCCCTTCTTTTCCGTTGGCCCCCAAATCTCTCAGTAACATTGTATGTATGCAGTTTTCTGTGACTCACCCAGAAATCCCATCACCTGTTCCTGTTCAGGCTGAGTGCTTTACAACTATTTCACATGGCCAACACTGCCTCCCATTTCTCACTCCCAGCTGATTACTTGTCTTTCACTGAAAAAAAAAAAAATAATAGAAGCAATTGGACCAGGGCTGCCTCATCTTCTAAATCTCTCAGACAACCTGCATCTTCCTTCCATGGGCTGAGCTGCCCCTGCATCTATCAGTGCCAGTGCTCCTTCTAGTACTGAACCCAATACACTCCTGTCTATTCAAGGATTTTGCTATCATAATTCCCACTTCTCTTCTCATCTTCAAAGTTTCCTCTTTTATTGGATCATGCCTAATGGCATAAAAAGCCACCATCATACCTCCCATCTTTAAAAAAAAAAAAAAAAAAAAAAAAAGATTTCTGTAAGTCCCATATCCCCTGATGGTACCCCTCCCATTTCTCTGCTCTTTCTAGAAAGACCTCTAAAAGTATGGTCTCTCCTCCCTGTCTCACTTACTCCCTCCAGTTCTCCCTTCAATATATGTCAATCAAAATGTGATTCCCAACACTGCACTCTACCTGAGTCCTGTCTCCATCTGCTCAGATTCACTGGTCAGCTCTCAGCGGCACCTTAACCTCACAGCAGTGTCCACACAACTCGTCGCTCCCCACCTTCTCCAGTGGTCCAGGGCAAGCTCTCCTGCGGTCCCCTCTCACTGCCTGCTGTCGCCCAGTCTGTTTTGATAGCTGCTTCTCCTTTCCCTACCTCAAAATGTTGGGGCCACAGGGCTCGGTCTTCAGATTTACACACATATTCCCTCAGTAATTTTGGTCAATTCTATATTGTCAAATACCGTCTACTCAGAGATGGCACTAGAGTGCCTGCCTCCAGCTCCCACCCCTACTCTAAGAGTCTGACTTGCATATCCAGCTTCCTTCTCAGTGTGCGCCCTCAGGCATGCAGCTGGCCTGCTAAACTTGGCATGTCTAAACGGAACTCTTGCTTTTCCCCTCCACCTTGGCCATACGTATCCCGGCCCCAGAGGAGACTACCATTAGTTGCTCTCGCCAGAAACCTTGAAAACCCCTGTGCAATCCACGAATAATCCTGACAGCTTTATTTTCAGAATATATCCCGAATCTAACCACTCCTCACCACTCCATCCACTACCCCTCTAGCCTCCTCGCTAATCTCCTGCTTCCGGTTGCCCATTTACCCTGTTCAAAGGGACCAAGCTCTGCCCTCTGCACAGCAGCCAACCATGGGCCCTGTTGAGACCCTCCTGAGGCTGCTTCCAGCACCTGCCTGTGTTGAGTCTCTGAGTGATCTGGTTCCGGGCTCCCTCTCCCTTTCATTGCCTACCACTTTCCTCCTTGCTACTGCCACCTCCTTGCCATTCCTGAAATCGGGCCTGCCCAGGGACCTCTGTATGTCACTTGCAATGCTCTGACACCAGATACGCACATGGCTCACTTTCCCTGCTCAAAGTCACCTCCTCAGCAAAACTTTCCCATGTCCCTTCATAGCTCCTATTACCTGTAATCATATCGCACATATTTCTCTGCATATATGTGTGTTTATGTATCTGTCTCTCCCATTGGGACGTCAGCTGTATGCTTAGTTCACCAAGGGCTGTATGCTTAGTTCACCACTGTATCCCAGTGCCTAACTGGGCCTGGCACTGAATGAATGTATGTCTAGACGAATAAACAAATCTCCCCTGATTTTGTATACAAGGACACTAACTCTTAGTTGCTCCATGATCTGCTTCATTCCCTGACTCCCCATCCAGTGCCCTTTGTTCTACACTACTCTTAATTTTTTTTTTTTTTTTTGAGATAGAGTTTCACTCTTGTTGCCCAGGCTGGGGTGCGGTGGCGCGATCTCGGCTCACTGCAACCTCCACCTCCTGTGTTCAAGCGATTCTCCAGCCTCAGCCTCACAAGAAGCTTGAATTACAGGTGCACACCACCATGCCCAGCTAATTTTTGTATTTTTAGTAAAGACGGGGTTTTGCCATGTTGGTCAGGCTGGTTTTGAACTACTGACCTCAGGTGATCCACCTGCCTCGGCCTCCCAAAGTGCTGAGATTACAGGCGTGAGCCACTGTGCCCAGCCAATATTTTTTTCTCTAAAAAGATTCTAACTAACATTTATAAGTTTGTTTTTAATATCTGCAAAGTAGCCAAAGTAGAAGCTGCGGAGTGCTTTCCTGTGAAGCAATGACTGGCCTCTTTGAAAGCTAGCTCTCCTTCCTGTCTTCATCACAATCTAAGTCATTACCTGTTGTGCATTAACAAGTCTGGGAATGAACTAAGAGATGCTGGCCCATGGCAGGAGCTTAGGCATTAAGAACCCTGCAAACCCGTCCTGCTCCTCCCTAATGCACAGTTCTCACACAGGCTCCTGGTCTTCCCAACTCCCGATTTGAAAGCTCTGTCACTCTTTTCTTTTTCTTCCTCCTTCAAGAGCCTGAAGGACTCTCAAAGCTGGCACACCATCCTTGCCACAGGATGACAAAATAATTTGTTTTCCTCTTCCTCCACTGAAATTATGCCCTCTTATACTAGCAGTTTAGTCCTGCTATTCATGAACTCAATTTTCCTAGAAAACATTAGAATATGACTTCGTTTCTTTCATGAACTGCTTCACACTCACTTACTGATCCTCAGACATTGTCTAATCTTGTCATTTATTTATTATCCTTCCCCATTGCCTTTCTATTCCTATTTTTAAGATAATTTTTGAGCTTCAAAATTCAGGATCCACTTTATTTCTGAAATGACACATCATACTATACACAGGCAATTCCAATGTTGAATCTCTTTCTCCTTGGTTCCGCATTTCATCAAAAGTCCTAGAAATTTCCTTATTTCTACAAATATTAACTGAAAATAATTAAAACTTCAAGCATTTGGGAGGGGGGAGGGATAGCATTAGGAGATATACCTAATGTAAATGACGAGTTGATGGGTGCAGCACACCAACATGGCACATGTATACGTATGTAACAAACCTGCACGTAGTGCACATGTACCCTAGAACATAAAGTATAATAAAAAAAAAAACTTCAAGCATTTCAAGAAACATATATGTCAAACACACACACAAACACAAACATGAGATGCAAAAAACAGGTAGCATCATTATCTACAGAAATACCCTAGTATTCCAAAGCAACATGAGCAGTACCTACCATGCTGTGTGGAACCCACTCTCTGCTGTGTGTGTCCACATGCACAGTAGACACTCTCCCTGCCCCCGTCTACAGTGTGAGGAGCCGCATATTGGTGGTCTCTGTGGAGAAGTACCATTTCCAGAAATTCCTGTACATTGTTGCTTTGATTGTAACTTGAAATTATTAGAACTGTGTTTGCAATGACAATTTACACTAATGAAATGAGTACTCAGAATAATCTTAGTAGAAGCCGGAAGGGCCAGGGGCATTTGGTGAGGACTGACATTGGGAAAGAGAGAGAAATGGGAGTTTCAAAAACAGTATAAGCCTTGGGAGGAGGAAAGTTGCAAGATAAGTAAATACATATACTTCGGTCTATTTTAAAGTAACGTGAGGCCCTTCACTTAGCATATTGCAGCTCATGTAACAATGGGATCCACTTGCTTACATGGTGGAGTCAGACCACTTCACATGCTCAGTTAAAGAAACATCACAAAACAGGGACAGAAATGTCTTGGTCAAATAATGTATCCCAATGTTGTTATCGAAAAATGAGGTCACTATTCATATATGTGTATATCCACCGGGGAAGCAGTCATTTTTGGCAATGTGAGGGTGAAGTTGTACTTAAGGATTTCCTAATTAAGCTATTACTGGAGATTCTACAAATGTAGAATTTTTCTTTTTTTTTTTTTTCTTTTCTTAAAAAACAGGTATCCTCCAATGTGATCCAGGAACAATAAGAGAAGAAATTCAGATATTTAGACTCTTTTGCCATGAGTGCCAAAGAGTCTTCCACGATCGCTTGATTAATAATGAAGATAAGCAATATTTCCATGTTATTCTGACAGAAATGGCCAGTAAATATGAATCTTTACCTATTCTTTTTTTTACTTGATTAGAAAAGCAATTTGGTTTCCACAAAGAACAATTAACACAAAAAGAATTTTCATAATTTATGAGTAAAAGTTATTTTCTTTGAAGGTTCAAATATATATTAAAATATATGAAATATTATGCAATATTATAAAATAATTTTATTAAAATTCAGGAAGGGTCAGCCAGGCATGGTGGCTCATGCCTGTAATCCCAGCACTTTGGGTGGTTGGATACATGGATCCCTTGGGCTCAGGAGTTCGAGACCAGCCTGGGCAACAAGGCAAGACCCCATCTCTACTAAAAATACCAAAATAAATAAATAAATTCAGGAAGTGTTAGTATTTTAATTTATTATGAAGTTTTAAGTAGAGGAGAGAAAGTAGGAGAAAGAGCATTTTGTCTGGTAAGAAGCCAGGATAGGCCGGGCACAGTGGTCATGCCTGTAATCCCAGCACTTTGGGAGGCCAAGGCGGGCGGATCACGAAGTCAGGATTTCAAGACCAGTCTGGCCAACATACTGAAACCCTGTCTCTACTAAAAGTACAAAAAATTAGCCAGATGTGGTGGTGTGCACCTATAATCCCAGCTACTCAGGAAGCTGAGGCAAGAGAATCATGTGAACCCAGGAGGCGGAGGTTGCAGTGAGCTGAGATTGCATCATTGCACTCCAGCCCAGGTGACAGTGCAAGACTCTGTCTCAAAAAAAAACAAAAGCCAGGATAATTTTAAAATACTTCCTGTTTCTTAAATAAGTATCCAATATTCATTATTTAACAAGTGTTTTAAATTATTTGTTAAGTATTCTTAATCTTAAACTTGGGAGATTATCAGCTAAACTAAAGCGGCATGGAGTTAACACAGCATTCTCTCAGTTTTCATATATATTAATTAAGTCTTCTAAGTAAAGTAGCAGCTGTTATTCTGTATGTTTTATCACTAAAATATTCCATTCAAGATTATCATTATATTAAAAACTTGGTTTTGTTCTTTAAATAGACAAACATTTTGGAATTGCAATTGACCTGGAATATTTTTTGAATAAGCCCATCATATTTGGAGATTTCATTAAGGCAAGTATGTTAAACTGACTTGACCTCATTTGAAAATTTTAAAGCATTTATTATTTTCCAATTCAAATTTATATTCTATAAAAACTTCACATGTGTGAAGAGTTAAGATCTAGGCCAGATGTCAGCAAACTATGTCCCATGAGCCAAATCTGCCTGCCACCTATTTTTGTAAACAAAATTCTTTGGAACATAGCCACAGCCATTTATATATATGATTTTTTTATATGATTGCTTTTGCTCTACAACAGCAGAGTGCAGTAGTAGTGATAAAGACCATATGACCTGCAAAGCCTAAAATATGTACTATCTGGCCCTTTACAAAAAAAGTTTGCTGACTCCTGGTCTAATTACATTCATTTTGGTAACGGTTTGAATCAGAGAGCTATCAGGTATTCAGTTCGGAAGGAAGCAGAGAGGTCTAGTCTCTTAACTCAGGACTTCCCCCTTATTGTACTCTACGTAGTGAAGCTACTTAGTTAAGAGAATTGTTCTCTTCATTTAAGAGTAACTCTAATTAGTAGCAATTTTTTTATATTTAACTTCCTTTTATTCCCTTATGAGTTCCTCAAGCCCATCTCTGCAATACTGTCTGTCTAATTTTTACTCTCTGGACCTAATTTTGCCCTCTGGTAAATTTTACCCTCTTGACCTGCCTAGAATAAATCTGCTATCTCACTGCCCTGTCTACATTGGCAGATAGCCATGTTGTTTTACTAAGGTGCCTCTTGTTTGAGTAAAACATTCCCAGTGTCTCCAAGAGGGCAGAGACCACGTCTAGTTTTGTTCATCTTAAGTTCCCAGGTTCCTGCACAGAGGTACGTAGCAGGCTCTCAATCAATGCTGGTTCAGCACATGAAGGAACTCGTCATTATATTATATGTATGCAATACCTCACCACTCTGGTAACTCCACTCTAAATAAGTATTACCACTGACAAATAAAAAAGATAAACTATGTATTTTTGTAAAGTATGTATTTATCTTTATTATTAAAAGTATGTCCAAAGTTTGTTTTCGAAGATTCTTTTCCTGTGTGTTTCTAGTTGATTGTATTATCAGATGAGAGAATAAACAGAAAAAGAACAGCTAGACTCCTCTTGCATTGCTTGTGTGTGTTTTAGTAAAACAGTCCAGGAGAAAGTGCCCCTGGGGCAGTTGCTGCATACAATAGAGAAGGGACATCATCAATAGATTAAAGACTCCCTGAAGTTTACACCTGAATTTAATTCTCAACAATTTAGTAACCCTAGATGACTGCTATTTAAAAACTACAAATAGTTCTGGCATGATTTTTTATAATAACAGCAGTCTGCTATGCATAGTTTTTAACCAGTTAGCTTTTCCAATGTCAATAACCTAACAACAAAAAAATGAAACCAGGTTTGGCACAGTGGCTGACACCTGTATCCCAGCACTTCAGGAGGCAGAAGCGGACGGATCATTTGAGGTCAGGAGCTCGAGATCAGCCTGGCCAACATAGTGAAACCCCGTCTATAATAAAAATACAAAAATAAGCTGGGAGTGGTGGTGGGCATCTGTAATCCCAGCTACTCAGGAGGCTGAGGCAGGAAAATCACTTGAACCTAGGAGGCGAAGGTTGTGGTGAGCTGAGATCACTCCACTGCACTCCAGCCTGGGCAACAGAGAGAGACTCTGTCTAAAAAAAAAAAATGAAATCAGAATGTAGCATTGTGAGAAAAATCAAAACCCTGTTTCTGAGCTCCTATGTAAGTTTTATTGCAAAGACCTTCAAAATTCCAGTGTAGCTCTTGAAAAAGTTAAATGAAATGGATTTTCCAGGTTATGTGTCTATCAGAATTAATCTAACTTGGTTCTTCTCCCATAAATTGTAGTTTGGAGCAGATAAAGCTGATCGGATTTATGATGACATGCCTGATATAGAGAAAATTGCAAATGTTCTACAGGACTATCTTGATGATTATAATCTCACAAATCCCAAAGAAGTAAAGTTGGTGTTCTTCCAGGATGCTATAGAACATGTTTCAAGGTATAGTGCTATAAGGCGCCCAATAATGCATTGATTTAATATTTTTTGTATTAAAGGGTAAAAAAATAAGTTGTATAAACTCTTTAAACAGATTGCTAGATGGTCAGAGGTGTTTTATTATTTCTCACCATAACTTAAGAGTTATTGTTTAACATATTTTAAATATTTGTGGAATGAGCTTTCTATGGAATCCCCAGAGTCGTTATTTTTGCTAAATATTAATTGATGGTTTTTGTTTGTTTTTATCTGTTCTGTCTTGTTACAAAAAGGATATGGGGTTGTTTACAGAGATACATGTACGGTATAACAAGGCTAATTCCATGCATACCTAAAGAAAGAGGAACTTCAAAATTATAGCAAAACAAGTTCAATCCAGGATCAGAGATTTCACCTGCTTGCAAGTCTGACTCTTACCCACTGCAAGTGTCCTGTGAGGGACACCCTTGACACATTCATAAGCATCCAGCCTAAATATCTGCAGTCCTTGGGGCACACTTTCTGAAGTGGCTCCTGTCCTGTTTGACAGTTCTAATGCTAAAATGATCTTTCCAGGATAAGCCAACATCTGCCTCCTGTGCTTCTGGTATCCATCCCATCCTGTGAAGCAGTCATGATTAAGGCACTCAGTGTGGGTATGAAACCATGATATGGAGCATCTCATTTACCTGGTACAACACTCTCTCTGTAGCTAGGGATCATAATCTCTTTACAAATAAGGCTCAGAGAATGTCCCAGTGCTCTGTTGCTACATAATAAGCCACTCCTATCCTTAGCAGATTCATTTTATCATCTCTCAATTTTCCCAACTGTTCTCTCTGAGCGTCTCTCTTGCAGTTACAATCAGACTGCCGCTGGACTGCCTGGAGCATCTCCGCCTCCACGTAGTCTCTCCACTTGTCTCTCAGCATGGCAGCATCAGGGTGTCTGGGTTTCTCAACATGGTGGCTCAGGGCTCCAAAAGCAAGTGCCCCAAGACAGAGAGCCAGGCAGAAGCCAAACAACCTTTTTGACATAGTCTTGGAAGTCACATAGCATCATTTCTACTGTGCTCTTCTAGTCAGTGCAGTCATACAGGCCCACTCAAGGTCATAAGAAGACGACAGAGACCCTATCTCTTGATGGCATCAAAGAGCAAGTAGGACCAGAGGCATTACTGCAGCCACTTTTTGGACAACGCAATGTGCCACAAAGAGATTAGGTAAATGGTCCAAAGTCCTCTAGTCAGTGAGTGGCAGGTGGGGATCACAGCCAGTGCTTCAGCTCTAACTCCACCGCAGGTGCCCCTACCCAAAATGGGCTCACTTTTTTCATAACAGCCCTCCAAATATTTGAAGACCATTCCCATATTCTTCTTAGCTTTATCTTCTCCAGGCAAAATTATCCCACATCTTTCTTATTGCCTGTTAGAGATTATTTCCAGTCTTCACATTCTGAGCACTTTATAATTTTTCAATGTTCTACTTAAAATGCAGCATCCAGATTTGATATCATATTCTGTGGAATAAATACAGTAAAATACAGTGAGAGTAGGATTTCCCGTGGTCTATTGCTGCAGCAAGATTTTCATGGCTTTGGTTTTTTCCCTGTGTCAACTGCATTTTAGCATTGGTCCTTGTTAATACTGACAATTAAATCCCTAGGATTTTTTTCACATAAACCATAAGCAAATAAAGTCTTCACCTGTTGCATATTTCATCTCTTTAATTAGCCCTAATTCAAGATTTGTGTTTGTCACAGCTTAAGTGTTATAACATAGGTCGTTTGTCATTGGCTTGTCCAGATGCCACTTGCTTCCCCTCTGTCCCCCTGGCAGCATACCCACATGCTATCCCCTAACAACTTTTATTCTCATCGCTCAGGCAGGCCCTAAGCCTACAAGGAAAAAAATAATGGAAGCATTTTGGTCTGAGAAACTTCCTGGAGAATAGACCAGACCATAGGCAAAGTTGGCTTAATTCTATTTATAATCTTTCTTACTTTTGTGAAAGAGAATTACCAGGCCCCTCAAGGTTTGCTTAAAATATTATAGCAGGAAATTAAAAACCATTTGTAGAATGGTGAAGATTTGGTTTTCAGATGCACAAAGGACTGCCATGTAAATAATGATGTAGACTGTCCTCTTTTATTCAAGAGAGGATCAGTAAGGAATCAGAGAAAACATATTTCTGCTTGTAAGAGCGTTCAAACACCTAATACTGATTGGCAATGGAAAGGACTTTGTTATGAAAGTGAGTTATGGATTAATTACTAAATACTCAGTAATTTAGCACATACTACATTTCCATTTGTTGGTGACATTTTAGTTTTTGGCTTTTTAACACGGGATAAGTAAAAGTCTTCTAACTCAGGGGGGAAAATTTTGCTTCAGAGCTTGTACTTTCAAAGAGCAAATGCACCAGGCAGTTTCTGCCCATCGTGTGCCCCCAAAGTTGTCACCACGCTCCAAGGATAGTAGAACAAATCTATTAGTATTTAAGCCACTAATTAGGAGAACCATCTCTTGCCTGCTACGTGAGAGAAAATGTAACTTACCTACTAAATTAGAGAATTCTTACTAGGGGAAGTTTTCAATCCATTTATAAGTAAATTGCCAGAAAAAAAAAAGTAATCCTACAAAGCAGAACAGACAAGTAATTTGTTTCCAGTAGTTTCTGATAGAAATAATCAAACTACTATTAATAATAATGTACATGAAATAAGGAAAGAGTGACATATAAAGTGCAAGATTTTTATCATATTCAACATTTCATCAACTGTAGGACACTTGTACATTATGGGAAAAATAAGAAAACATTGTTATCTATTCATTCTGCCCTCAATTTTATACTCGCCTGGGCAGCTGAAGGGAAATAAGCAAACAGACATCTGATGTGTCTCTCAGTAGATATGTACTGTGGCAGACACATAGCAATCACAATGGTGCTATGGGTCTTCGTTGTCCCAGTAGAGGAGTTGGCCAAAAGTTCTGGGGAAGAGGTTGACAAACTGCTTTGGTAAAGGGCCAGATAGAAAATATTTCAGGCTCTGCAGATCATACTGCAGCTACTCAACCCTGCTGTCATAATGCATAAGCAGCCACAGACAGTAAGTGAATGAATGAGCTTGGCTATGTTTCAACAAACTTTATTTATAGACACTAATATTTGAATTTCAAAGGATTTTCACATATCATGAAATATTACTCCTTTTTTAATAATTTAAGTTCTAGGGTACATGTGCACAATGTGCAGGTTTGTTACATATGCATACATGTGCCATGTTGGTGTGCTGCACCCATTAACTCGTCATTTACATTAGGTATATCTCCTAATGCTATCCCTCCCCCATCCCCCAACCCCACGACAGGCCCAGGTATGTGATGTTCCCCACCCTGTGTCCAAGTGTTCTCATTGTTCAATTCCCACGTATGAGTGAGAACATGTGGTGTTTACTCTTTAAAAATTGTTTTCAACCATTAAAAAAAAATCTAAAAACCATTCTTAGCTCATGGGTCATTTAAAAAACCACATGGTTAAGGGGCAAGATTTGGCCCGCAGGCCATAGTTTGCTGACCCTGGTTTTAGACAAAGCCGTCTTACCTAGTCACTCAAGGTATGGAAAAAGACCTGTCTGAGGAGCAGGAGAGGGTGTACAGGTGGAGGAAACAAATTTCAGTTTGATTCTTATTTCAGAAGATCCTAAATAATGACTGGGAGTCTGTGCCTTGTCCTGGAGGAAGACTTTTTAAATAAGTCCTCGTAGACTCCCTGTTCTATTCCTACACTACATAGCTCCTATCTCCTGCCACCAAAGATGACGTGTACAGTAACTAACTGTTACAGTCTCTAGAAGTTGGTTACTTGAACGTAGAATTGATGGAGGACCCGCCAAATGCTATGCACTGTTCTCACAGAGAAATGGACAGCATCCAGGCCCCCATGATGGAGTTTATATGTGGGAAAGAGTTAGCAATGTTTTTCTCTCATGAGTTACAGTGACCATGTGATGTTTTCGTAATCAAAAAATAATAAAGTCACTATAATTTTAAAATATTTGAACATTGTTTTCTTCAATTATCAGCAATATAAATAATCTACATAGATTAGATAGATAGATAGATGATAGATGATAGATAGATAGATAGATAGATAGATAGATAGATAGATAGATAGACAGACAGATAGATAGATAGATAGATAATTTGCCAGAATAAGGAAGGGGAAGAAGAGGAAAACTAATTAAACCTGCTTTTACATTTCTCCCATGATTTCTAGATTTTAGACAATGGTAATAAGTTTTAAATTATGTTTACATTTTGTGTCTTCCTAAGAAGAATTTATTGACATTATCAGCCCCTTTTCTATCATCTTAACAACAATGTATAGAATTGATTCTCATACATACTGGTCACCTTTATACTGATATCCCTTCCCCCTTCCCAGGTTTTTAAATTTCATTCATACTTCTGTATATCTTCAAGGAATCTTTTAGGGAGGCTCTGCAGATTATTTACTCTCTGAGCCATAACATGGTATTTTTCTCCCTCTAACCACTGTCTTGTAAAATGTCATCTTGTCGATAGATGCCTAAAGCCAGCCTGAAATTATTTGTTCCTTTGGGGATAATCCATTATTCTGCATTAGATAATCATCAACTTTTCAGTTATGTTTAAAACATAGATTTCTACTACAAAATTTCTACATGTAAATTACTTATAGATCTCCTAGGAAATATTTAGTGTTTTCTCTCTCCTCTAGTTTTCTTTCTTGATCTTTGGGGCTGTGGGTTCAGCCCCAGTGGTTTCTTCTATCATATCAGTCACCATTGCCTTAATTCTATTCCTTCTTCTCATTCCTGTAATTTCTATGATGTGGCCTCTGGGATTCCATTTGTTTCTCCTAGATTTGCCCTCCTTATCTTCCATTTTCTCTCCCATTATTTTAAGATCGCTATCTTTTTTCTGAGTTCTGGGTATATTCCTGGAGTTTGACCTCTACTTTTCCTGTTTCAACTCTCCACGGTATTCTATTTGTGAGACTCATCACCTTCCACTCAGGTTTTCAGTTTAGTGGATTTTCCATCTCTACTCAACTTTTCCTAAATTTGCAAGGGGAGGGTTTACTCCTTTTTGAGCGCTCTCTCTCTCTAGTATCATCATTGCAGTGCTTTTCAAAATTCATGTTAACATGAATCAGAAACTTTCTAAAATTTTGTTGGCATCCTGTAGTAAATCCATTTCAAGGTGTTCTGTTGATCTCTCCTTCTGCACTATAGTGTCTTTTTCTAGGTTTAGTGATTTTTTCTGCTTGCTCATTCTTATAAATGGAAACCTGGGCTTGCCAATTGACAATATAAGTTGTGGCCTAGATCGAGTAGGGTCTCCAACAAAGTCCTTCAGACTTCAGGGAAAAGAGATTGTACTTTATTGTAAATTTGTATGACTAGGGCCGAGACCCAACAGCCTGTTAGGAATGGGGGAAAGGATGAAAAAGAGAAAAGCCAAGCAGTGCTGCTCACCAAACCCCGGCCTCAGGTGCAGCCTGCTCTTCCCTTGCAGCATCCTGCCCCGGGAGGAGGCTCCACTGGCTACCAGCCTTCGGCTCTGGGGCAGGCTCTCCGAGCAGGAGCCATGTCTGTGAACTTGAAATAAACCTTTCTCTGCTCTGATGTTTGCAGGATTGCTCGGATGATACGTCAAGAAAGAGGCAATGCCCTGCTTGTCGGAGTAGGAGGCACAGGAAAGCAGTCACTCACGAGACTTGCAGCTCATATATGCGGTTACAAATGTTTACAGATTGAACTCAGCCGGGGATATAATTATGATAGTTTTCATGAAGACCTGAGGAAGTTGTACAAAATGGCTGGTGTAGAAGACAAGAATATGGTTTTCCTTTTCACTGACACCCAGGTGTGTGTTTAAATAGCCCATGGGTAAGAACAGGAAATGTATGGGTGTTACAATCGGGTGTGTGCTTTGAACAGTTTGTAGGATGAAGTTCAAGGGATTGCTCCCTTTGATAACACATTTCCCGCAGCTTGTAAAAGACTTTTATAATGCATTTTTATTTATTTTACCAAATATTGTTTCCCTTCTTTAAATTCTTAGTAATTAAATTTGATCAAAGGTCAAGGAAGTAAGTTTTTAACTTTTCTTTGAGGGAAACGGCAAAGATAACAGAAGGTAATAAACTGTATAAACGTGCATATAAGAAAATAATTTACCAAAAATTCAATTAGGGAAACATGCCTTTACCTACAGAAAGGAAAAAGGAAGGGCTATCTTCTGGGTTAAATTACCTTTAAAATTGAAGTAGGATTACATCTATTCTATGACAGCTAATTTAACTGATCTCGAATTAATTCTATAGCAGAGGACTTTCTACATTGATTATTCTTGGATATTTTCTCTTTAGAGAAAATAAACCTGTCTAGAAATTAGCCAAGGAATAAAAACGTGATAGATTCGATGCATACCTTTTTTAAAAAAATATTGTAAGCAGAATTAAATACAAACAAATAATTGGAAAACTATTTTTAATATCTATGACATGCAATGAGTTTGTATCCTGTTATAAAAATACTTATTACAAATGAAAAAGGAAAAGTCAAGCACATCTGTAGAAGAAATAGAAAAAATGTAGTAGAATGTGAATACACAGTTCCAGAAAACAAAGGCCTTTAAACACCTGAAAAATTGTCAACCTCACCATTAATGAAGGAAATTATAATAAATAAAAATGTCAGTGAGTTGGCCTTGCAAGTTGATAAAGGTTAAAAATCATAATATACAGTGTTGGCAGAGGTGTGGGAATAATAGGCCTGTTATTCTTCACTGGGAGATCATAAATTAGCAAAATCTTTCTGGAAAGTAGTTGGCAATATGTAGGTAAAGCCTTTACATTTCTTTTACATTATAATCAAAGCTACATACAGTTGCACATATGAGGATATCTACTGTAATGTTTTAAAATAATAACCTGAGAGAGTATTAATGTCCACTGAGAGAAAGTCGTATACATAATATCTGTTATAACCATATACTAGAGCACTATGTAAAAACTTTAAAATTATAGAAACATACAAATTTTAATGTATATCTAGACATGTATGCCCCATGTACAAAGAGAAAACATTTGAATCATGGGATTGTGAGTGATTTTTATTTTCTTAGTTTTGCTTATCTGTAGTTTCTAATTATCCTAAAATTAAGATATTTCTGATAGTGTTTTTAACATTGCTTTAAAAAATCAAACAAGTTATGTAAAAAGTCTCCAAGTATTAAAGCTCCAAAGATCAAATCATATTGTGTTGCTTCTCTTTAGACAAAAAGTTATTGCATTCTGTTGAAAGCCCCAATCAATCTCAAATGTTCTGCAGTAATGAAGAGTAAACGTAACCACAAAAATAAAAGTGCATGTGTCTATACATGAACTTATATATATACACAAAACATTATAAATGTGAGAAGAAATTGAAAGAAACAAGATGTTAAAAATAGAGTTTAATTGGCTGTAACTAACAAATACAAAGTAGAAATAAGTATGATTAGATATTTTGCCTAATATAATTTCTAAGCTACAATTAATAGCGATATACTATATTTCATATTGTACAGAGAAAGCAAATATTTTCTAATACTACTGAATGTTTACAAAACTTAATCACATACTAGATTTAAAGAAATTTTTATTAAATTGTGAAAAGCATAAGCCGTACTCATTCTTTGCCCATGCTTTAATCAAAGGAGAAATTAATGATGTGTCTTAGGACTTTAAAATATTCATATAAAAATCAAGAAAGTCAAAATCTCTTAGAGACTAAGGAAAATGAACTTAATATAAATAAAAATCTATGGAATGCAACCCAACAGTTCTCAAATTTACATTTATAGATCTGAATCAAAAATTAGAAGCTACACAAATTAGTTCACTTAAAACTTTAGGAGGGAAAAATGTCACAAGACACACAAGAAAATGAAACAAGATAAAAGCAGAAGTAAATTAGAACACAGAAAACTACTGTTTATTCTTGGGGAAAATTGACAGACACAATTATACCAAGTTCATTAAGAAAAACAAAAAGTTTCAAATGAAGAAAATAAAATAACAGATATCTTGTCATAGTTAAATGTGTAGTACTCAAACTTCTATATAACTAAAAAGCTAGCTGAAATAAAGGGTGAGAGATTACTTTTAAATATGCATCAATGTTGAGAGACAAAAAGTCTATTTCAAAATATGTAAATTACTCATACAAATTTGAAAGAAAACTCCAAGATGCAGATGGTTGCAAAGTTTAGGTCAATTTTTTAACGGACAGTAATAAATATGGGATAATATTTTCCCTTGCCAATAATCAAAAACATCCAAACTAAATTCTCCAAAAGAAAGCATTTATTATACGTTCCAAATTAACAAAAATAAATGTTAAAAATCAATGAAGTCACACTTGAATTGAATGAGAAATAGTAAAATCTTCAAAATCCAGAAAATATTTATGCGTTTAATTGGTAATCTCACTCCTGGGAATTTGTTTCAAGAAAATAATCCAACTAAGAAGAAAAGCTATATGCCTAAAATTGTTCTTATAAACAAGAGTGTACGCTATCTCTGTCCATGTAAATGTATAGTGCATCAGCTCAAAGGTGCATTCTGCTTCTATATTTGTGATAAATATGATGAGTACATTACAGAACTATGGGTTAGTATTAATGATAAAATGGTAACTGAAGGGGGCAGAATATAAAATTCTTGCACATATGACTTGACCCAGGTAAAATGGGAACGCCTGCTAAGAAACAAAACACAAAGGAAAAATGAAAAATCAGTGCACTTGCTATGTTAGAACTTCAGGGTTCCATGTAATTTTTAAGATTATATTCTCTTAAAGACACAATCGATTCCTGTGAATTTTAGAATAAATATTTGCTTAGTAATAAATGGAAAATGATTGAGCAAGTTGTAATGATCACTGCCTTCTTCTACAGATTGTAGTGGAGGAGTTCCTAGAAGATATAAATAACATCCTGAACTCAGGTGAAGTGCCTAATTTATTTGAAAAGGATGAACTGGAGCAGGTTTTAGCGGCCACCAGACCAAGAGCAAAAGAAGTAGGAATTTCCGAGGGGAATAGAGATGAGGTAGGACGTGCCAGAGTAGTTATGTGGCTTTATCACAAAAAGGTTTCTTCACCTTTTATTTAACCATTCACTGATCCCCTGAAGGGGTCCATGAATAGAATATTTTTCAATGTAATTGGTTTCCTTTGTGTTCTATGTATTTTATTTTCGGTGTTTAAAGCATTGGTGCACCAGACTTCCAGAAAGTTCTGTGGGAAGCAGAAAACAGAAATCCCACTGCCCCACGGAGGTCATAGTCTTGTCCAAACTGGCTAGCCTCTCTTATTCCTCTTTAAGCACCAGTTTATTCCACACACTGCAGCATCCTCCTGTGGAGGGCTGAAGGCTTAGGTCTAGTATTGTTGATGCCCTTGCCTAGCAGCAATGTTACAACACAACAAAGCAGGAATGTGTTTTCTCTCACTCTCTCGGGAACAGTGTGGCTGCTGTACGCTGCCATTCTCCAACACCATGCTAGATCCCATACACCGTTACTTGCTCACCCCAGCTTTTTTCCTGGTTTCTGCACCTTCTTTAACTTTCTGGCTGTTCTTTCTTATATCTTTACTGTTTCCCTTTGTGAGAATTGTCTCTCCTGCTAGGTCGGAGATTATAGGTACAGATGCAAGTCTACTTCTGCTAATGTAAGCAGGAAGGGATTTATTAAAGGGATACAGAATCATTGGAAGGGCCAAAGAAAGAAACTCCAGACTGAACTCCTTGGAATGAATATAAAATGTACACTGTAGAAGTCAATGGTCAAGGTGGTAGCCGCCTCTGCCACAGCCATTTCTGCTGAAGCAGGGAGCCACTAAACCAGTCAGTGTGCCTCCGTGTCAACCGTCAGCTCCAGAGCCATGTGTCCTCCATCACATCAGGAAGCAGCTGAAATCAGGAGCCACTTCCAGAGATAATAGCTCCAGGATAGTTCCTCAGAGAACTAAGAATTGAACTACCATTTGATCCAGCAATCCCATTACTGGTATATACCCAAAGGAAAATAAATCATTCTACCAAAAAGACATATGCACCTGTATGTTCACTGCAGCACTATTCACAACAGCAAAGACATGGAACCAACTCAGGTGCCTATCAATGATGGATTAGATAAAGAAAATGTGACAGGTGTACACCATGGAAAACTACATGGCCATAAAAAAGATTGAAATCGTGTCCTTTACAGTAACATGGATGCAGCTGGAGGTCATTATCATAAGCAAATAGTGCAGAAACAGAAAACCAAATACCACCTGTTCCCACTTACAGCTAAACATTGGGTAACATGGACATAAAGATGGGAACAATAGACACCGCAGAATAAAAAAGCAGGGAGCGAGAGAGGGATGAAAGGGTTGAAAACCTACCTATTGAGTACTGTGCTTACTTCCTGGGTGACAAGATCAGTCACACTCCAAACCCCAGAATCATTCATTATACCTTTATAACAAACCTGCACATGTACCCCCAGAATCTAAAATAAAAGTTGAAAAAGAAAAAAAAAACTCCCATACTATGCGACTTCTGCCAGACTCTGCACTTATAAAACCTGATGCTGTGCAGCACCCTGGCCCTCTCTCCCAGTTGTCCTCTGCCCCACAGCAAAACCTTGTATGAATGGCCCTTTATTCAAATGATCTCCTCAAGTACACGGGTGAAAGGGACCTAAATCACATCCAGAACCCTAGCTGCGATGGAGTTTGCAAAATGACATTTTTAATCTTTCCAGACTGTGTGAGAGAAAGAGGTTGGAGTGAATGTTGAATAAGAAAATTTACATATCTACTATACTGACATTTTATATTTGATATTGGGAGCCTCAGTGCATTAGCCAACACTTATTTTCATTGTTGCTTAATCATTATTTTTTTTTTTTTTTTTTTTTGAGACGGAGTCTCGCTCTGTCGCCCAGGCTGGAGTGCAGTGGCCGGATCTCAGCTCACTGCAAGCTCCGCCTCCCGGGTTTTACGCCATTCTCCTGCCTCAGCCTCCCGAGTAGCTGGGACTACAGGCGCCCGCCACCTCGCCCAGCTAGTTTTTTTTTTTTTGTATTTTTAGTAGAGACGGGGTTTCACCATGTTAGCCAGGATGGTCTCGATCTCCTGACCTTGTGATCCGCCCGTCTCGGCCTCCCAAAGTGCTGGGATTACAGGCTTGAGCCACTGTGCCCGGCCATTAATCATTATTTTAAATTGAAAAAATATCTTTCTTTTTGTCAGGTGTTTCAATACTTTATCAGCAGAGTGCGTCAGAAGCTGCACATTGTCCTCTGCATGAGCCCAGTTGGGGAGGCCTTTCGGTCCCGGTGCAGGATGTTTCCATCGCTTGTGAACTGCTGCACCATTGACTGGTTTGTGCAGGTTGGTGACATCCCAGAATATCTGTTTGAGAAGTTGGACTTGCTTGACTTTAAAGGGGTTAACACATTGTCCAAGAGTAACTCGTGGATACTTGTATTAGCTTTAAAGCCTACTAGGAATTTATTCATGTAGGGAATGACCGTGGCAATCATAGAACAAAGACAAAACAGAATTTGTAAAGGAAGAGGAGACCGTTGAATTTAGCAGTGTCAAAGTTATCAGCGATCTTGACAAAATCTGTTTCAATGGACGGTGGGGGAAAGGGTTCAAGAGAGAAGAGGGGAGAGAAATCTGAGTCAATGATTATAGGCAACACTTTCGAGTTTTGCCCCAAAGGAAAGCAGAGAGATGGGGCAAGAGCTAGGGGACATGTGAGGTCAAGAGAGAAGTATTTTTAAATGTGAAACACAAGCGGCATGCATGTGTGCTGATGTAAATGATTCAGAAAAGATAAATATATTGATGATGCAGCATACCGAGTTAAGCACTGTGGGACCAGTGACCTTGATTAACCAAGAAGGGATGAGAATCAATTCTCAAAGAAGGGGCTGACTTGGTCAGGGAGCATCCACAAGCCTACCCCTGAGTAACAGGTGGGGAGGCAAAATATATGAGCACAGATGCAGGTAGTGGGAAGATGTGGGGTAAGAGCTCATTGAAGTTCTGTTTTCATTGCTGTTATTTTTTAGTGATATGGGTAGTGAGGTCATCAGCTGAGAGTGAAGAAGAAAGACTAAGTGTCAGCAGTTTAAGGAAGTAGAATCAGGTGTGAAATACTCAGGAGAGCACAAAACTGATATATTAAAAAAAGGTAGAAGCATTTCTGGGCTGCAGTAAGAGCTAATTATCATAAATTTAAAGTGATACTAATCGGCAAGGTTGTGCATTTTTCTCTAGCCATGCTCAGCTGCACAGTTGCAGGCATGGAGTAAGAGAGTTGCATTTGACCAATGCTCAGGTGAGTTCAAAGAAGCAAGAGAGGAGCAAAGGAGTTGAGGTTTGCAGGACAGTAATTATAATGATGGACGTGAGGTCCCAACTACGTAACAAATGGAGTGAGAGCATAAGGTCCCTATAACATATGTGATTTATTTATGGAATTCTAGAAACACCCAATCATTAATTCATTCAGTCAACAAATATTTATTGAACAACTTCTGTGTGCATGATACTGTGGAGACATACTGGTCAGTAAATGCAGACCCAGGCACCCCTCAAATGGACAGAGCCCTTCAGTTCATTAAGCACCATGGACATGAGTAGGAGTTAACTAGGTGAAGAGGGGACTGGGCAAGGAGGAATTCCTGAGAAATATGTTTTTCTTAGTATTGAACTGTATGTTATTGAAATGACACAATAGATTTTCTAGATTTTTCCTTGATTCACAGTGGCCCAGAGAAGCACTTCTTTCTGTGTCAAAGACATTTTTCTCACAAGTCGATACTGGAAATGAGGACCTGAAAGAAAAGCTTCCCTTGATGTGCGTGAACGTTCACCTGAGTGTCTCCAGCATGGCAGAGCGCTATTACAATGAGCTGCGCAGGCGGTACTACACAACACCCACCTCCTACCTGGAGCTTATCAATCTTTACCTGTCTATGCTGTCTGAAAAAAGGAAGCAGATTATTTCAGTAGGTTCAATATTGTCCATGAAAATATTGTTTTGCTTGAACTCAGAACTTTTGAGAATGCGTGGAAACTCTATGCACTGTCTTACCTGTCAGGGCCCTGTATTAGTCCATTCTCACACTGGTATAAAGAAATACCTGAGACTGGGTAATTTATAAGAAAAGAGATGTAATTGGCTCACAGTTCTGCAGGTTGTACAGGAAGCATAATGCCGGCATCTGCTCAGCTTTTGGGGAGGCCTTGGGAAACTTTCAATCATGGTAGAAGGCGAAGAGGAAACAGGCACATTTTATGTGGCAAGAGCAGTAGCAAGAGAGAGAGGGGGGTGGTGCCACAAACTTTTAAACAACCAGATCTCACAAGAACTCACTATCATGATGACAGCACCAAAGGGAGGATGTTGGTAAACCATGAGAAACTGCCCCCATGATCCAATTACCTCCCACCAGGCCCCACCTCCAGCATTGGAGATTACATTTCAACATAAGATTTGGGTGGGGACACAGATCCAAACCATATCAGGCCCTCTCCATCCTGACATGTGCCCCTGACAACCTAAAATATGACCAAAAACTGTTTCCTGCTGTCGGTCTGAGGGCCTTCTCCTTTCTCAAGAATTTTATATATATATATATATTCCTTCTGTCATTTATGAAAGTATCATTACTCAGTAGAATGATATGGGCATCACAAGACCATCAAAGTTATGCAGTGAACTTGTCATCTCTGTGGTATTTAATACAGAGGAAAACATTTTGTTAAGCAATACAGATGGTGTTTTAAAGAACATGTGCCAGTGGTATCAGTCAAACTATGTACAGCCTATGTTCTGCCTCTGGCTGTGCAACTTTGAGCACATTAGTAATTTCTCTAAGCCTTAGTAGAAAATAAGGCTAAAAGAAAATCTGTATCTACCTGTTGGCTTGTCGTGGAATTTAAGACACTGTTAGTGAATTCCTGAAACAGTGATCTGACATATAAAGTGCTCAGAAAATAGAAGCTGCCATCATCATCATCATCAGGATATTAATACGACCTACAATTTTCTACATTTTAAACACACTAAAAAGGGAAGCACTTACAATATAGATATTTAAATTTTTGGGGGGATTTTTACCTGGTAAAATGCCTGCCTTGTGAAATAACTTGACCAATATTTTTGAAATCTGCCCATTTTAACCAAGCATTCTTTTTTTTTTTTTTTTTGAAATGGAGTCTCGCTCTGTCGCCCAGGCTGAAGTGCAGTGGCACTATCTCAGCTCACTGCAACCTCCGCCTCCTGGGTTTGTGCCATTCTCCTGCCTCAGCCTCCCAAGTAGCTGGGACTATAGGCACCCACCACCACGCCCGGCTAATTTTTGGTATTTTTAGTAGAGACGGGGTTTCGCCATAGCCAGGATGGTCTTCATCTCCTGACCTTGTGATCCGCCCACCTCGACCTCCCAAAGTGCTGGGATTACAGGCGTGAGCCACCGCGGCTGGCCATGAGCCAAGCTTTCTGACTCACTTTCGAAAAACAGTTCTTCCCAGGTGTTTCCTTTACCAGATGCCACCCCTTTGATCATGGTCAAGAGTTTTCTACCACAGGGAAGTGGGTTCAAATCCAGCAGCCAGAGCTAGACCCTCTGGACCTCATCTCCCTAGGGGTCCTCAGCCCTGCTGGCCAGAGCAAACAAGCTCCCAGAGCTGCAACCTCCAGGGATTCACATCTGGACCTGTTCCTCACTCATTCAACATGCTACCACAGGGAATAAAACCAGTACCATGTGGTCCTCACTGTCAGTGAGCCACAGCCCAGTGACGTCCCACTGCTGTGGCCAGAGGGCATGGATCCAAACAACTGTGATGAATGTCATGGCCATTTCTAGAGTTCCATTACCTGAACATTTCCCAGTTTGTAATATGTTCACAACCTGAATTATTACAAACTGATTTACCAATTCTGTAGATGTAAAAGTCTAATACATGAGTAATATGTGTTCGATACCAGTAAACTTAGAGTTATAATACTCATTATAATAGAAATTTTCATTGTCACTTAGGCACGAGATCGGGTGAAGAATGGTCTCACCAAGCTACTAGAAACAAACGTACTAGTAGATAAAATGAAATTAGACCTTTCAGCTTTAGAACCTGTACTTTTAATAAAATCACAAGATGTTGAAGCCCTGATGGAAAAATTGGCAGTGGATCAAGAAAGTGCCGATCAGGTATGCTGCAGTTCCTGAGAATGTGGAAAAGGCTTCAGTCAGCAACTGATCACTTATATACAGTGAGACACGATTGGATTTTTAATTATATATGTTATTAAAATAATTAAGTGATAGATTTAGCAAAGTTTTTTTTTTTTTAGCAATTAGAAATGCTTTTAAGTTGTAAACAATCTCCCTTTACTAAATCAGTTTGGCTCTGTCCCCAAGAATTGATGCAGCCCAATGAATGGGATAGAGAATTGTGAGAAAAGCGCCACCTACAAATGTAAAGCAACTGCGTCTCTCCTAAGATTGAACTGTTTGTTGTAAGTTTATATTCATTATGCTATTGGCATGGCATAGATGGACAAAGGAGAGCATAAAAGGCAGTCTAGCTAATAGCCTTTCATCATTACTCTAATCCAAAGGGCAAATATGATTCATTATTATTGACTTTTTTAAAACATTAAAATTCAAATAATGAGGCCACTTAAGCAGTCATGTCTCAATGGTTAGGTCCGTAACACTGTGCAGGAGGACGAAGCAACAGCAAAAGTCAAAGCTGAAGAAACCCAAGCAATAGCTGATGATGCTCAAAGAGATCTTGACGAGGCACTACCTGCACTGGATGCTGCCAACAAAGCACTGGATTCCTTAGATAAGGCAGATATATCTGAAATCAGAGTTTTTACAAAGCCCCCAGATTTGGTCATGACAGTAATGGAAGCAATCTCCATTCTCTTGAATGCCAAGTGAGTAATTCAGAATCACGTATTGCCATGATACCTGGTAAGAGTTCTTTACTGTTTTCCTCTATGGTAATTTATATATTCATTCCCTTCTCAACCTTCTCATTGCTTCAACTGATCATTCAACAAATTGATTCAGGGAATATTTTCTTCCCCAACATCTATTTTGTACTAGATGGTGGAAGATATGTTTTTCTCTACAAGATATACACAGGTTAGTGGGAAGTAGACATGAAAACTAATAATTTCATTATAACGTGAGAGTTGTATAGTATTGGGAGTGCTGAGCAAACAGTGCCTAAGTCCAGCTGGGGATGTGCAAGCAGGTTTCTTGGAAAACAATGCTCAGTTGGATAGCGGGACCGTAGGCGAACTCAGGAATGAGCTTTGATGTTCTTGGAATGGGATGGGGCTGGGCAGGAGACCAGTGATTACATCATGAAAGGTCTTGAATACTGCACTAAACACTTCAGTTTTCATCTTGGAGATACGTAGTTTTCAAACTTTCTTTAGCAATACAAACATTTTTTCAATAAAATTATGTTGTAATGAACCTTTCTATGTAAAACTGGGCAAAGGGCTCAGAGCACCACATCACCACCAGGCCTCCAGGAGACAGGGTGGAGAAGTTCCCACTGACCTTAAACTGGTACTTCGGTAGGGCCCAGGGAGCTCTGCAGAGCACAGAGAGAGAGCTGTGGGCAGAAGGGACTGAGAATCGTTGAACATTTTTTATCTAATCAGATTTTCATGGTAGGAAGATCAATCTGGCAAAAGTTCAGAAGAGCAAAGTTCAAAGAGACATAAAGCCCAGTTAGAAACCAATTGCAGTGTCCTGGCAGGTGAGTTTAAGGGTGGGAACTATGATAAAGGAGGTAAAATGTGAGTGCCTGCAGCATTTTAAAAATAAAACTATTGTTTCTATAATGCCTTACATTTGTAAAACTATGATTTTGTAATTCTTTCTCTACCAAAGCTGGGTTGCATGCAACCTTAGTCACCCATTTTCTTTTCACCCCATGAATTAATTGTGGTTCACCTAACTACCAATTACTAGAATTACAGTACCAAGATTAAAATTACCAGCTTATTGGGATAATATCATAATGTTCTCAAAGAAATACATTTCTTTTGTTCTTATATTGCTTCATTTCAGTGCTATTAATATATCATGTCTGCCTTTCAGGCCTGATTGGGCATCAGCAAAGCAACTTCTTGGTGACTCTAACTTTCTAAAAAGGCTTTTAGAATATGATAAGGAGAACATAAAGCCTCAGATACTGGCAAAGCTTCAAAAGTATATTAATAATCCTGATTTTGTGCCTGAAAAAGTGGAGAAAGTGTCCAAAGCATGTAAATCTATGTGCATGTGGGTAAGAGCTATGGATTTGTACTCTCGAGTGGTCAAGGTCGTTGAACCAAAAAGACAAAAGCTCCGTGCTGCACAGGTACATTTTCTGTATTGTGATATTTTATAGAATTGAAGACCATGATCGCCAATCATTCAAGTTCTCTGTATAATGTTACTATGGTCTTACGTAATATAGACAGTGACAAAACTCTTGGAAATTAGCTTTTGTTTTAAACAAGAGCTGGCAATTGTTTTTCAGAAATTGCCTCTGAAATCAGCCTTCTTTCAGCATAGGAGGAACATGAGTTCCTCAGTATATTCATCTGAAAAAAAAGGAATTAATCTATTATTTTTAAGATACTTTGTAGCTCAAGCATCTGATGGTCTGTATTTCCGTTTGCTAAATACTTCCATGCTTGATGGTGTCATCTGAGGTTTTAGAACCAGCTTAACCCTGTCATTGGATGTGAGGCCCTTCATATTCCCAAGAAGAAAAAAGAATGATCATTTAGTGGAGCAGCTTACTGAAAGAACTATGGCTATAGAGCAGGGGTTGGCAAACTTTTTCTATAAAGACCCAAAGAACCAATATTTTATGCATTGCAGACTATATGGTCTCTGCGGCAAGCACTCAGCTCTGCTGTTGCAGCACAGAGAGAGTCATTGACAATACATAGATGAATAAGCGTGATTATGTTCCAATATAACTTTATTTATTGACACTAGAGTTCAAATTTCATGCAATTATCACAGTTCATTAAATATTATTCTTTTAAAGAGTCTTTCTAATTATTTAAAAATGTAAAAACCATTCTGAGCTTGCAGACTGTACAAAAACAGGCAGCAGGCTAGATTTGACCTGCAGGCCATAGTTTACAGATCTGTGATGTGGAGAACTAGTTAGGAAATACTAGTTTCCACTATGGCATGAATATTTAATTTGTTGCATCATTTAAAATTAATAATCCATTATGATAACTAATTCATCCCAAATGCTCAGTATACCTGTTTCTCTATTGTGATTTATTTTGTTGGGCTTTATTATTGATTTTGTTTTGTTTCATTTACTTCTGTTCTTGTATTTTACTCTAATTTATATTTGTTTTAACTTTATATATCACATCAAAGTCTTTTTGGACATGAAAAGAGGAACATATAAAAAATTTTTTTAGATCTGTATTATTAATGGGCAAATTCAGCTTTCTTTTTGGGCCTGTTCTTAAACAGTTGCTTGATTTTATTAGGCTGAACTTGACATTACCATGGCTACCCTGAGAGAAAAGCAAGCATTACTAAGACAAGTAGAAGATCAAATACAGGCCTTACAAGATGAATATGACAAAGGTGTAAATGAAAAAGAAAGCCTGGGTAAGTAACTCATAAAATTTACATTGGCCAGGAAACGCCTGATTTTCAGAAGTAGGAAGAAGTTTTTGGGAATCAGGTTTTAGCTTTTATCCAATGTATAGAATGTATTTTCATTAGCCTTCTAGGATCAAATAAGAACTCATGTGTTTTATATATTCAACATCCTGTACCTGAACAAGCCTTACTGGAGCATGTTACATTAAAACACAAAACAGTATGTGAATTTGATCCGGAAACTAAATACTACAAGGATACAGAAAACACTGTCTTCAGAGTTCTCGATATGGAAAAGGCAAGCTTAGACGTGGTTCTGAAATGGGAATGAATGCTGAATTGGTGTAAGGTTTCATAGAGATGTATTGACATCATTAGTTAAATAATGCTATTCTGCTAAAAAAGAAACAGGTAAATAAGCTTTTAATACTTTATGAAAATATTGAATAGTATAATCTGATTTTCTTAAAATTTTTCTAGCAAAGACGATGGCCCTGACAAAAGCACGTCTAGTACGTGCTGGAAAGCTGACGGCAGCATTGGAAGATGAGCAGGTTCGATGGGAAGAAAGCATACAGAAGTTTGAGGAAGAAATATCAAATATCACTGGGAACGTGTTCATAGCAGCAGCTTGTGTGGCCTACTATGGGGCTTTCACAGCCCAGTACAGGCAGTCAGTGAGTAACCCTGCTTTCTGTAAGGAGGGATAAGAAGCAGCTGAAACTGGAGCCGGGGGTGGTTCATTTTTCTGAGTTCAGATGGAGGCTCTCCCCTGTAGAGGTTCTTCATGGTAGAATTTCCGTATATATTTCACAGTCCTTCACTCCCCCATCAGCCAGTGATGGTCTACCCCTAGGCTTTCCTTAACACGTTCCTCCCCTTCCTTCTCCTGTCTTAGAAAGCTATTCATCATTTACACAGTTCAAAAACCTGGGGGAAGGAAAAGACAGTGAGTCCCCTACCCTTATGATCAGAAGTGGCACGTAAAGCCAGCCTGGATGAGATGTTCTCAATTGGTGAAACTGCAACAGAGGGACAGTCAACAGAAAGGAGCAGGCAGGACCAGGAGGAATCTGTGCTTCCTTGGGCTTTTATCTTTTTATGAAAGAAAGCCTCAGCCGGGTGCAGTGGCTCACGCCTATAATCCCGACACTTTGGGAAGCCGAGGCGGGTGGATCACCTGAGGTCAGGAGTTCAAGAGCAGCCTAGCCAACACTGTGAAACCTCGTCTGTACTTAAAAAAAAAAAAAAGAGGCTTATGCCTGGAATCCCAGCACTTTTGGAGTCCGATGCGGGTGGATCACCTGAGGTCAGGAGTTCGAGAGCAGCCTAGCCAACACTGTGAAACCCCATCTTTACTAAAAATAGAAAAGTTAGCTGGGCGTAGTGGCGTGCGCCTGTAATCCCAGCTCCTCAGGAGGCTGAGGCAGGAGAATCGCTTGAACCCAGGAATGGGAGGTTGCAGTCAGCCGAGATCGTGCCATTACACTCCAGCCTTGGCTCTCAAAAC